AGAGAGAGAGAGCGGTGTGTGTGTGCAAGCGCGAGCGAGAGAGCGAGAGAGAGTGAGACACATCACAGTGGAGTCAGCTGTCTTAACCATGGCTTGTGTACAGCAAACACATATTCATCACTGTCTGTCACGAGACTCTGTTCCCCTTTCGGGCTGTCTTTACATTTATTTTGAAAGATGAAGCTCACGATTATGGTAAGGGTCATTACATTTCCAACGAGTGCATGCGACACTGTCTGTCACGAGACTCTGTTCCCCTTTCGGGCTGTCTTTACATTTATTTTGAAAGATGAAGCTCACGATTATGGTAAGGGTCGTTACATTTCCAACGAGTGCATGCGATGTTCGGCCAATCACAATGCACTGGGTCAGCTGGCCAATCAGAGCAGACTGCGCTTGTCGGAAGGAGGGACTTTGTAGAAAACGAAGCGTTTGAGAGAGGCGGGGCATAGAGGACCTACAATAATGTACAGTATTTGAAAAATAATGTGTTTTTTGAACATTAAAGCATGTCAACATATTCTGTTACACCAAATAATGATCTTTAAAAAAGCATCATATGACCCCTTTAAATTATTTTGGCCAATGGTTTAAAAGTTAAAACACCTTAATGGTGGATTTGCTTCTAACAACCATGCAGCTTTTCACTTCACAAGACATTAACTGATGGACTGGAGTTGTGTGGATTACTTGTGGATTATTGTGGTGTTTTTATCAGCTGTTTGGACTCTCATTCTGACGGCACCCATTCACTGAAGAGGATACATTGGTGAGCAAGTAATGTGATGCTAAATTTCTACAAATCTGTTCTGATGAAGAAACAAACTCATCTACATCTTGGATGAGTATAGTGAGTATATTTTCAGTAAATTCTCATTTTTGGGTGAGCTAGTCCTAACTATTACTATTCCTAACATATTGTGGTGATCATTTAGATTTTTTCTGTAAGAAAAGGTACAACGAAATTTACAGTGGCAACTCTCAGAGAGCAAGAAACATCCAAACATACATACACACATAAAAAAAGATTAGTATATTACTATAATTAAACAAATGTAAATGTATTAAATGAAACAATATGGATGGATGGATGGATGGGTGAATAGAGTACTGTGTTTGAGATGTTTCTTGCTCAGAGTTGTCACTCTAAATTTCGTTGTACCTTGTGCATCGTGTAGACAAGGATACAAATTTTTCCTCAGTAACTTTTACCAGAAAAGCATGTTATGAAGATTTGCTTAACACATCATACGGGAACTGCGTGAATCATAAAGAAACACTTCTTGTAGATATTTCACAACCAATATAGAATCAGTTTGACTTATTACAAACATATAAGAAAGTGGCCTCTCTGACTAATGAATGCAGAACAAAAGCCCTACAAGCATGAAGCTTGTTTCTAAATGCAGCTGCAACAATTTAAAGAAATGTTGGAGGCAGCAAAACCGGGCCAAGGAAAACATCATGAAGGAGGATAAATCAAAGGCATTTCAGGACAGCGGTTTAGTTATAATTTATACAGACAAGCCAAGTTTATCTGGCTTGTAGAGACCAATTTGCAATGCACTCTAAAACCCGTGTCCATGACATATAAGGAACTGAAAGTCTAGATGTTATTTCTACATATAGGTGTTATTAAGAAGCCATCTGCAGAGAATAAGAAGTGCATAATGATGAAGATATCTGCAGATAACATAGGGATGAAACAAACCTTATCAAGCGGCTTTCTCAATTTTGATTGTACACAAACACAGGCTGACAACACACAAGTACAGCTGTCAGATGATCATCAAATATTAACTAGCAACCAAAACAAACTGATGACAGATTGTACTGTGCTTTACAGTACTGCAGCACCAGTATATCATCATCATTCCATGTGCACATGAATCAATCCATCATCCATATGCGATGATTTGCATTAACTTACTTGATGAACTACATGCTAAATGTTTAACCCTAGTACCCTACAGTACAATATTTGACACTTTGCTGAAAAACCTGTTGTACACAATCTACTACATGCCTTCTGCCCTCAATTAAATTTGTCTTTTTGCTGTTTTTAATACATTGCAATACATATATATTTTTATAAACATAAGAATAACTTTTATATTGTAAGAAATATTTCATAATACATGAGCCATACAAGGCTGACATAGTACAAAAAGCACATAAGAACTTATTATTGTGCTGCTAGCTCATGCTAAGATTAATATTTCACTGCCAGTTTCTTCTGAACACAACCAAAACGTCCACATAATCACTAAAAGTGGACTAAAAGATGTTTGTTTAGTAAAAAAAAAAAAATTTTAGTTAACAAGACAACGGAAAATCTGAGACGATAAAAGCTAATCATTAGCACATTAGCTTCAGCGAACCGTAAACGTACCGTAACCGCTTGATTTCCAAATGAAATGCAAAATTTACTTTCATCTGAAAAGAGGACTTTGGACCACTGAGCAACAGTCCAGTTCTTTTTCTCCACAGCCCAGGTAAGACGCTTCTAACGTTGTCTCTGGTTCAGGAGTGGCTTGACACGAGGAATGCGACATTTGTTGCCCATGTCTAGGATTCGTCTGTGCGTAGTGGCTCTTGATGCGCTGACGCCAGCCTCAGTCCACTCCTTGTGAAACTCCCCCAAATTCTTGCTGGTGTACCTTTTCCTACCACACTTTTTCCTTCCAACTTTCTATGAATATGCTTGGATACAGCACTCTGTGAACAACCAACTTCTTTAGCAATTAACTTTTGTGTCAATGAATGTCTCCTGGACATCTGTCAAGTCAGCAGTCTTGACCCAGACTGAGAGACCATTTAAAGGCTCAGGAAACCTTTACAGGTGTTTTGAGGTAATTAGCTGATTAGGGTGTGACACCATGACTTTCCAATATTGAACTTTTTTTATTGAGACACTGCATTTCGGGTTTTCATTATCTGTAAGCCATAATCATCAAAATTTCAAGAAATATAGGCTTGAAATATTTTACTCTATGTGTAATGAATCTATATAATATATGGGTTTCACTTTCTGAAATGAATGAAAAAAAATATTTACCTTTTTCATATTAAATTTTTTTGAGATGTATCTGTGTATATATATATATATATATATATAATAAATAAAAGAAAACAAGTAGATAGAATATAAATAGAATAGAGCGTGTTAGTGTTAGAATAAATTTTTTTCTATAATAAATAAAAAGAAAACAAGTTTAGATAGAATAGAATAAACAGTGTTAGTGTTAGAGGGTTTTTCTATAATAAAAAGGAAACAAGTAGGCTGAATAGAAATAGAATAGAGAGTGCTAGTGTTTAGTTTAGCAACTGAATGCAGCTGTGTTCACCTTACATGCTCAGCTAGGTAATATGGATTAGTTCATTCAAAAATTGTCATTCCCACTCATGTCGTTCCAAACCCGTAAGACTTGTTTATCTTTGGAAGAAAAGTTCAAATATTTTTTATATATTCTCTCATCATTTTTGTGCTTACATTTAAAGTCAACGCAACCAAAATGTTTGCTTCAAAAAGTTCATAAGGAGACTGTAAAAGTATTCCATCCAAGTGAATACAGCGGTTTGTTTGAAGAGACACGATTGTTTTGTATTTGATGAATTTTTAAAAAAAAAAACGTGAGAATTAGCAAGGCTGTGAGTGTATACATATAGAACATCACTTCCCCATCTCTTGTGTGTTATGCTGTTTAGAAAAATCAAAATAAAGTGAATCACATGCATGAAAATATTAGTACTCTGAATAAGTCTTAAAACAGAACTACAGCGGCTCCAATGCGTGTACCACTGAAAACCGCAGTAGGTTTGAAAGAAACATCCGTTGTTAAAATCAAGCTGGCTTTTTTTCATATACAAACAGTTTTCTTGATAATAATTATACAAGTGCATGTGAAGTTACACCGAAGTGTTCCCTTAAAATTGGAATCAGAATTGGTAGTTCATTCCTACACACTTGCCAGTGCATTAACAACATTCTGAGCCACTTTCGAATTTATACAGTGTAATTTATGTACAAAATAAACTCCAACAGCATTATACACCCCGACATTATGTGTCCGAGAGGAAAAAAACGTAAGGCGAGTGTAAAAGGTGATTCGAACGAGTCCCTCCATTTCTGTCAATCTGTATGTTACGTGGCCTCTTTGGTCACGGAAGTGCTTAGGCGCTGCCGTGGAGCATCTCGAATTAGACGCCCCAGTCGACTGAAACGTCCTCTCAATCATTAGCCGTTCCGTGTTATTGACAGAAACCAGTTTTTTTTTTCATGCTCATGCTAAATCAAAAGTCGTCTAGATGAAAACCATTTGTTGTATGAACGCTGCAGACACATGATCCTCATCCCCTGACCTCCTGCACGTTTCCAGCGATCCTCCTCATAAGAAAATGGTTCTGAAACACTTTCAGATCTGAAACATACAGGAATATATCAACTTATTTTATTCATGTAAGAACACAGCATAGCTTTAAAATTGATAAATAGTGGAGTCTAAAAATCTGAGAGCGCACTGAAAATCTGGAAATAAGCAGAACGTTTTAGGATGTGTAAAGCAAAGAATATTATGTCATTAAATACATCCAATATATTTATGATTCTGTGTTTTTTCTAGGTCACTAATTAAATATAAGCCCCACCCCACAAAAAATATAAATAAATAACTTGTCTCTAAACGTGTTGTGAAAGCCATTTCGACTTTAGATGTCCAGTCATTGTGCAGGTTCACAATGCAAGACCCAAATGACCCTTCAAAACATGTTGTCCTGGTCTGCACACAATAGCACGAGTAAAAGAACAATTGCATGGACTAATTTGCTGAGCCTGCATCAGTGGGCTGCATTTAAACTGTACTGGAAAAAGCACTGTTGCAAAGCACATTTCTCTGGTGACTACTGTGTTGATGAAAAGCTATTGGCAGGATTCCGCACTACTCTGCTTTTTACCCCTTGACTTCCACTGATCCTAGTTTTATGCCTGGACTTACCAAAAAGAGCACAACTGTTACGGTTGACCCATTTTTTCCCTTTGTCTTCCTTCCTTCTTTATGCCCTTCTCTCCTTCTCCAGCCTGAAACAACAAAAGCTTGAAGTTAGAGATGTCTCTAAAAGAGCCGTCATACTACACAGCGTCTATAGGGATATTATTCCCAACGCCCATCCATGGTAACACACGACAAATGCTATAAGAGAAAAAAAAATTAATTAGTGAGAGACCAATGTTCCCTCTATTTATAAAATTTTTTCAAAACCTACTTTTATAGACATTTCAGACACATAAGCAGAAACACCACCTGTGCACTCAGTGTCATTGAAGAAATTCTACGTTTTCTCAAAATTAATTTATTGGGAGTTTTTTTTTTTCATGTGTTACCTCATGAAAACAAATGAACAGTAAAGCAATGTAGATAACTTAGGTAACATTATGCTATATATCTAGCGTAGTACGTTATGCATTACTGTTCTTTTTTTTGTTTGTATATGTTTGTGAGGTAATTCAAGATTAAGTTTTGTTAAGATAACTTGAATAATCATGAGAAAAGTAAGTTATGCTCATGGGAAAACAAAACATTCTAAAGTCATTTTTCAGTATCATTTGTTGTAGGATGCAGCCTAAATTAAATCAGCATAGCATCAGTTCCATACTGAAAATCAATGGGCATGCAGATGGACTCCAGTTTAGCTTATTCAAGCTTATTTCCCCACACATGGAACATGTTTTTTGTTCCGTGTGGGAGCAACATTAAAGTATGTGGCCACACAGCTAGAGGGAACACATATCAGTCCACAGATGTTCACTCAGTTTCCCATTAATAAAGCCACTTCAAACAAAAACCAGGAAACTTGGGTTAAATTTCGAATACAGCAAGCTGTTCTGAAATGTTCTGCACACTGCAGGCCCGCATAGCACTAGCATCAGCACCGCACACGAATCCAACCTCAGTGTGCTCTCTGAGGGGCCCGGGGCCCCCCTCTTCCTCCTGCTCGGCCCTATTGGCCTGCCGGGAACGCTTCCCACGCTTTCTCCTGCCTTTGTCCTCCACACCAGCTGTGCGACGCACCACTTTCCGGATGACCTAAGAGAAGGGGGCAAAGTCATGTCTCATGGTACTGGATTAGACCCACACGGGGGCAGAAGGGAAGAGAAAAGACGTGGTAAAATGAGGAGATGGTGATGCTAATAGGGGTGGGCATGGACATTACTTTTCTGGTCACTATGTTTCCATCTTCATCTGTGTACTGCTCCTCTGTCACAGTCTCAACAGGGATGTTTCTGGCCTGATCACCCTACACAGGTGGGATGCATGATGAAACATTACAGATCTTTTACTTTGTTCTGCTGATGACAATGGCTGGATGCATTTAGTCATTCAAACAAACATACAAATTGGTCGTTCCAACACTATAGGCAAAAAAGTAAACAGCACAAGCTAACTGTCTTATACATCTTCCAAATGACATGCTAAAAACATAACTCTTTAAATGAATCCGGTAATTATTGACTTTTGATTTATAATAATATACAGTGGTAGTGATGGGCCAGGTCCGGGGCCCCCCTCTTCCTCCTGCTCGGCCCTATTGGCCTGCCGGGAACGCTTCCCACGCTTTCTCCTGCCTTTGTCCTCCACACCAGCTGTGCGACGCACCACTTTCCGGATGACCTTAGAGAAGGGGGCAAAGTCATGTCTCATGGTACTGGATTAGACCCACACGGGGGCAGAAGGGAAGAGAAAAGACGTGGTAAAATGAGGAGATGGTGATGCTAATAGGGGTGGGCATGGACATTACTTTTCTGGTCACTATGTTTCCATCTTCATCTGTGTACTGCTCCTCTGTCACAGTCTCAACAGGGATGTTTCTGGCCTGATCACCCTACACAGGTGGGATGCATGATGAAACATTACAGATCTTTTACTTTGTTCTGCTGATGACAATGGCTGGATGCATTTAGTCATTCAAACAAACATACAAATTGGTCGTTCCAACACTATAGGCAAAAAAGTAAACAGCACAAGCTAACTGTCTTATACATCTTCCAAATGACATGCTAAAAACATAACTCTTTAAATGAATCCGGTAATTATTGACTTTTGATTTATAATAATATACAGTGGTAGTGATGGGCCAGGTTTTTTTTTTATTTTAATAGTCAATGTTTGTGAAAATTTGGTTCAATCAAAACAAAATCTGTAAAATTAAGACGCACAAAATGAGGTTTCATTGTGTAGCGAAACTTAATGCTAACATGAAGTATTAGTAGTGATGCTAACCTTATTCATTAATCAAAGATAGGCTTATAATAATATACAGTGGTAGTGATGGGCCAGGTTTTTTTTTTATTTTAATAGTCAATGTTTGTGAAAATTTGGTTCAATCAAAACAAAATCTGTAAAATTAAGACGCACAAAATGAGGTTTCATTGTGTAGTGAAACTTAATGCTAACATGAAGTATTAGTAGTAATGTTAACCATTCATTAATCAAAGATAGGGGAAGGAGAACAAATACAGGAGAATAAAATTAAAAGACGAAAAATAGATTACGCTAGAAAAATACACTTCAGAAATCACAGCAACTTCTTCATGAAAAGTGGCAGTGCTAATCACTTCATTCTCTCTTAGCACACAGAAAAGCACACGCTAAGCCTGTAGCACACAAACTGGCCCAAATCTACAAGAGTACCAACTCATAGTACCTTCAGAATCACTCTCCGCCGATACACTCTGGTGGTGACAGTTTCTTCCTCATCAGAGCTGGATTCATTATCTCTACGAGCTTCCTGCTAGAGTCAGGTCAGCACATTACAGCAGTGCATGAGCCATCAACCTCATATGAAGTGCTTCAGACCTTCAACTAATGTTCTTCAAGTCACAAATCTTCACTGTGCTCAAGCACTGATGGTGACCCAGAGTTGATAATGGTTATTATTTCTTTCAGTGGAGAATGTAACCATGTTTACATTCACAGTTATAATCAACCTAATGCTTTTTTCTTTTTGTAGACAAAAAAACTTAAGATAGCTTCTGTCGAGGTACTGTATACATGGTGCATTTGAAGCATTTCAAGTACTTCAAGGATTAAATACAATACATGTCACGTTCTTTTGTTAAAATTCATTTGGATTATTGTTTATCTTTGTTGTAGCTTGAGACTTGAGAGACTGGTGAAGACATGAATACATTTGCAGTAAATTACTATAGTGCAAAAATGGCTTCCTGCTAGAGTCAGGTCAGCACATTACAGCAGTGCATGAGCCATCAACCTCATATGAAGTGCTTCAGACCTTCAACTAATGTTCTTCAAGTCACAAATCTTCACTGTGCTCAAGCACTGATGGTGACCCAGAGTTGATAATGGTTATTATTTCTTTCAGTGGAGAATGTAACCATGTTTACATTCACAGTTATAATCAACCTAATGCTTTTTTCTTTTTGTAGACAAAAAAACTTCTGTCGAGGTACTGTATACATGGTGCATTTGAAGCATAATCAAGTACTTCAAGGATTAAATACAATACATGTCACGTTCTTTTGTTAAAATTAATTTGGATTATTGTTTATCTTTGTTGTAGCTTGAGACTTGAGAGACTGGTGAAGACATGAATACATTTGCAGTAAATTACTATAGTGCAAAAATTTCAGTGCAATGGAACTGTCACAAAGGAATAAATACTTTCTGACTGCCTGGGCAGTGAACTTAGTTCTGAACAAGGGAGAAGATCGAGACACCCTGAGCCATGTGAGTACATGCATGGTTAAAAACTTGGTTTATCTTTGTAAGAAAATCTAAAGAGCATTGATGTTTGCTTTTTAAGGTCTCTTGAAGAAAATTTTACCTGGACTTCAGGCTTGGAAATTTCCTTCCCCCTGTGGTTTGGTCCTCTGTCCTCTACAGCCTCGCTGCTCACTTCTTGTCCAGAGTCTTTCCTAGCTTTTCCCTTTGGTTTGCTGGAAGACTCACTGGCGTCTAGTGACAAACGAGCTTGGGCTTGGAGTTTTTGATATTCCCCATTTTGCCTCTCAGTTTGCACTCCTGGTGTCGAGGACATTAGTTCTTGGCTGTGGAGGCATCGAAGTTCGAAATACATTACTTGATTGATACCAAACCTGCTGAGCTTGCAGAATAAGAATACAGTATGTTGGTAGAGGTCACTGCTCTTACCCGGACTCTCTTTGCCCTTGTGTTTCAGTATCCAGTCCGTGGCCAGAAGTTGCCGTCTTCCCATTTGCACCGGATGTCTCACTCTGCAGACCTGAAATTGAAGACATGTCTTTTTCTGCCAGCTGCACTTCACAGAGGATCGCTTGCAGCCTCTCCTCAGTCATCTCCTCATCCTCTGAGCCTTCCTCCAACTTAATGTTCTCCAAGAGAGACTTTATTTTCTCTTGGGTCATCTCTTCATCTTCTTCGCCAAACCCAGACTTGCCACTCTCTCCAGGAGCCTCGCTGGCTGAGACACAAACGGGAAGCTTCGGTTGGACTTCCTTCTGCTCTTTTACTGGACTTTCTGGGAAGACATCTGATTCTTTTGAGGTTCCCTCACTGTCACGTTGATCCGAGGGCGCTGCTATTTCTTTGCTGACATTAAAGTCATCTCCAGCTGACCAATCCTCTTGGCTAACAGACTCTCGGCCTTCAATAGAGGTGTCCTCTGCTATGACGGTAGGCGGCTTGGTATCTGCAGACACTGGGCCACTAGTGGTTGGCAAGGACAGTTCACTGGGTCTAACAGGGGCACTAAAGGGGAAATTTAGCCTACTGTCCTCGCCAAAGAAATCATCCTGGCGCAGAGGGGTAGGGGGTTCATAGGTCAGCTCTGAGGGACTCTTGAGCTCCAGCTCAATGTTGTGGTAACCTGAGTGATACAACACAGTGAGATGGAGGCGAACACCACTTGTGCGCAATGCCACAGCAACAAATGTAATGACAGAGGCCTTTGAAAATGTCATGGAGGATCATGTTGATGTTAGGGTGGCATTCTGAATTTAATAAGCCATAACATTATGACTTTAAAGGAATTTTCTGGGTTATTTGCAGATGTCTCACCTTAAAAATTAGACAACTTTACAATTCAACTAGATAAAAAATTTGTCAAGACAAACTTTGAAGCTGGCTTGAGAAAGCCAGACCACAATTCAATTAACAAACATTTTCACTGAATTTGAAGTGCTTTTGCAAAAATTCAAGCTGAGGAAATTTCTGTGGTAGTCGAAAGGATACCACAGATGATTGATAGCATAAATTAACCCAGAATACTCCATTACGAATACTGTATACCATTAAGGTATGCAGCATATAGTATAATTAGTATGGTTATAGATATCTGTGTGTAGTTCACCATGTAATTTTCAAAGGCAGGTAATTACAACACTAAATATAAAGTTCAGGAACAGTGGGGTCCTGACGTAAATGGAGGAAGATGGGTGATGATGATGAGGAACATGAAACAGACTGAGACTGTTTGGTCAACACTTTAGGGATAGGAGATACAAATTATGTAGATGAAGTAGGGGCAATAGAAAATGTCATGGACACCAGGTTACAGAAAAATGAAGTAAGACAAGATATTGATGATACTGTGTTAGTAACATGAGACTTATCAGGATGATGTTGCTATATGAAGATAAGAATGCAGTATTAATGGCAGAGCGAGTTTTCATAGCATGAGTGAAGAGCTGTAGCAAGAGCTAGCACTGATTTATCCACCACAGAGAGAGCAACTAGGCTAAACAGTGCTGCGCCACTGTGCTTTGAAATGAGGCAAAAGTGTTGCTATGAAAGAAGTTGGTAGGCAGTGGAGAAACAGCTGGTCTGGATTTGCAGCAGAAGCACTCTGTCAGGAAGGTTCAGAGGATTTTGGGATACTGGAGGATCAGGCAGCTTGACAGCAAGCAGACATAGTAGCCAGAGCCATGCTATCGATATTGCTTCCAAACTACTGAATTACTGTTAGCACTACACAGAGAGAAACATTAAGGCAATCATGCTGTAAAAGCAGGTTGGATACTATTATTATGTTTTCATGTATGTTTATCTGAGAAAGAATCAGAAAGTATAGTAAGAAAACAGAGTAGAGCACTATTGCCATTGCTGATAGCTACAGTATTTGGTATACTTTGGATACTTTATATACACATAAACATAATATTTATCTTAATACGGTATGAACCAAATCTTAAACCCATCAGATCCAGCACACGAGTAGAATATAAAGCCTTAACAGATATTCTAATAGAGCACAACAGTGAGCACCCACTTTTTGATGGCTTATAATGGCTTTTGTAGTTTGTCCATCTGGAATTTGGCGATTAAATAATATTTCTACAGAAGCATGTATCATCAGTTAACAATCTCAAAGGTGTTAAAGGTTTAAATGATCCCAACTGTTGCTCCATGTAAATTTATTGTAATTCACAATATTATTAAGATGGGGTTAAGTTTTGATTCAGCATTCGCTTATATCATGTACCACACAGATGCATGCTTAAATGCTTTCATACAAACATACAATCATAATAATAAAATATTTATGATCACACTGATCCCTGACTGGTCTAACACCAGCCTGGGAAATAGCAGTGTTGATAACTGGCGGATCTAATTGATTAGAAAAAATGTAGATTTAAACTTAAACTTGAGTTTAAGTTGATACTGGGTTTGAATTTAGAGCAATAAGTGTTTTGCCATGATGGTTCTATGAATCTACAGATTTGTGAGAGACATAGAAAAGTAGAGTTCAGGTAGATGGGGCTAAACTTTACCATCAGCCTGCTCCTGGGAAACTGCGCTATCATCTGCAAAACATCTTGTGCCTGAAATGTTACCATAGTCAAATATCGGCCCTTCCAGCAATGTCACAATATCCAACCGATTGATCTTATTCAGGACTGCAGTTAAGGCATCCGCTAAAATGAAAAAAGAAAAGATTTTCATGGTTGCACATATTAGCTGAACAATACATTATGCCTTTAAATTATAAATAACATTATTTATCTAATAATGACTGAGAATATGATTTGGATACAGAAGTCTGTACCAGCCCAAACCCCACCCACCTACCTACCTCCTCTCCATATGATTTACCCTTATTCAGAAAATATGTAGTCCGTAGGCACACTTACTCGTAGCATTTTTACCATCTCGGCTAACCCATTTCTTTAAAAGCATGAAACTCTGAGCTGTCAGTGAGTTTGGGTTTTCCACACGGATTTGATTTATCTCATCAACCGAAAATTCCATTTCCCTGGCCAGCTCTGCAACACATTAAAAATAGATTAACAAGTCTTCTGTCTTTACCACTTCCCCGTACACATGTGCGCAGTAATGCAGTGACTGCAGTTGGCACACCCTACTGATCACAGCAGCACTGATGCTTTGAGAAACAACAACAAATAAGGTGAAGCCATACGTGCACAACAATAGTAACACTAAAAAGTAGCATTTAGGGGTACAAATGTGACATTATTTTCACAGATTACATTACATACATAATTACAGAGATATAAACATATGGTATATATTTGTGTTATGGTGTAATGCAACACTTTGTCCTCTAGGTAGTGTCATTTCTTACCAGTCCAACTCAGGCCAAGATGATCTGCCACAATAGCCATACGTACATCTGTTCTTTCACAGGGGCTCTGAGGGCCTGAGAGCAGAGGATGGAAAGTCGTGAAACTCTTAAAAACATTATATTTAGAGAAGTTAGAAAAGTAATAAATAATAATAATAATAATACCCTAATAATAAATAAAAACTACCCTTTTCTGATCAAGTAAAGATAATTAAAGGATTGGGGGAGATTTTTTTATTTCATACTTTTGCCACAACAAAGTGTGTCCATATCCAAATAATAGGTTAGGAGACATTGATCAGAAAAGAGTTGCAAAAATATTTTGATATAGTCAATTAACTTGGTTTTAAGAGGTTAGATTTGTGAAGAGTGCATATAACCAATCTAATTGGAAATGTTTAAAACCTGACAGTATAATCTTACCAGAAACACACATAAATCACAAAAAAGACACGATTCAAATGTCTCTACAGCTACAGCAGAGGGTCAAATGTGAATTCACAGTATCAAATGAAACTGAACATGCGGCATCTTTGCTGCTGTGCTAGGAATGTGTGTTTGTGTGGGCTCATGAGATCTACAGGCTTCCTTAGCACCTTACAAGAACTAGCAACCAATAAAAATGGCCAGCAACCCACTCACACTGGCATGCTACAGTAAAACTGACTATCCATAGAAAGAGATCTGAAAACAGGTTTAGAGACCAGTACACAAAGAGAGAAAATGACAAATGACAGATGACATCTACAGTCAGGTCACACCACAGGCAATCACAACGGCTCATGCAACTAAGATCATACAAGTGGAAAGTTTTACAAACTAGGCTTGATCTCCACGCCGGGGGCCACTTGAGGCCCAGCACCCTGACTGCCTTCACCTCCATCAGTCCTCCTACTCCACCTCCTCCTGTCTCTGCCGGACTGCTCAACCTGTGATCTGACGTCTCTAGCAGACCTGGATGTACTGGAGGGTTGCGACGCTTCTGATAAAGATGTGTTCCTTGATGTGCTGCTTTCTTCATCCTTATCATATGCCTGCATCTTTTTCTTTTCACTGGAAAGGCAGTCCACAAGCTTTACTGCCCTACTAGGTTCTGAACTACTAGAACTTTTGCCAACCTCACATACGGGCTCCTGAACACATTTACTGCCTGCTCTACTCACTGGACCAGTTTTTGATCTTTTGTTGGTGGTTATCGTTTTGGTTGGCTGTGCTTTACCTTTCTGTTTGGCTATTGTGGTGGTCCTACATTTCCCCACTGGTGAGGAACTAACATTTTTGACCTTCATCATTGGGATTCTAGATTTAGGCTTCACATCTGGGAATGGATCTAATCGATTGTTGGCTACTAGTCTAATCTTTTGAATTGGTCTCGAAGATGTTAGATCTTTTTTACACCCCAGTGGTGGATGAGGTGCTCTCACTGGCAACCTAGACTTTGGTGGCTTTCTTGTAATTTCTTTGCATTTGGATATTACATCAATTTTCTCTGTACTGCCATCCCTGAAAGTACCAGTGTCTTTTCTGACTGAATCTTCACCTGGGTTTATTACTTGAACTGAGTAAAGATCAGACATTAACAGCTGTTTGGTTTGTATGCCGCTTTGTAGCAAGCAATGTGTTCCAGCATTTAAGGCCTCAAGATTAGCATTATTACTGCAATTTCTGGAATTATTGGAAGTTGTCTGGAGGTATGTTTGTGGCTCTGTCCTCGACGAGTCTGTCCTTTGATTGTATTTGCTTGTTCTATAGGTTTCTGGTCCTACTTGATGTGTAGTCTCTGGTGTTTGACCCTGAGAACTATCCGAGTCTACACAAACAAAATCTCTCCTCTCAATGTTGGAAGATTTGAGTCCTATTTTAAAAGAAGAACATAAAGAACTGACTTCTGAATAGGGGGGAGGCTCCATGTCATGAGATGTGTCAGAGTGGTCAGTGCATATCTGAATGATATTGTATGATATAACCGTGTTGTCCTCCATCTTAACTTGTGCTCTCTCAACTATCTGTGGATTTGAGGTGACTACATTTGGTTTTCTGACCCCATCCCCTATCCTCCCTCCAAATGTATGCTCACCGATCTGAAAAAATTGCAGCCTCTCTTCAACAAAATCCCGCTTGCTCATGTCAATCGCACCACTGCGGGTCATCTCAAACATCTTCCCTTCGTGGAAGGGGAAAGGGTTTGGCTCGCTACTTGGTGTGCTTTCATCGGTTGGGGTTCTTGCAGGAGTTGTGTCAGGGGTTGTTGCTGTAGACTTGTCATCTACTGCTAGCCCAAACGGCTTGGGCTCATCATCTTTAATTCTAGCGTCCACTACTTCATCTTCTCCTCCCTTGCTTGACCAAGGATCAAAGCCTTTTGTTGCAACAGTTTTGAAAGGAGTATTAAACTCCTCATCTAGCTTGTAACTAAAGTAAGTGTCTGTCAATCCTTGATCAGATTGTTTTCCATCCTTTTCACTGTCCTTGCCATTCTTTTTGTTTGAGGGATCAGTCTTAGCTTTGGTCTTTTTGCAATCCTCAGCAGGTGATTCTTCATGAATTACTTCAAGTTTACTTTGGCAACGGTCACTTAGTCTAGACATATTATCTGATGCCCAAAGATCCTTTCTGTTTTCGTTGGGAAATCCAAATGGTTTGGCAGTAGGTTCACTTAAGCCGTCATCCTCATCTTGAAGTTCATATCCATCCAGAGAGTCAATCTCAGTGGCATCAGTGTCATGAGAGAACTCTGCAGTTGTCGCTAATGAGCAATCTGTGATGGACTGATCATTGCCATTTTGTTCATAATCGTAATCTTCTGCTTTTCCATTACTATTTGCCTCTGGTTCTTTATCATTCCAATTCTTGTCATGATTTTTTGATGGGCTTTTCTTCAAATCTTTGTCCTCATCAATCTTAAAGGTATATTTCTTTATTGGAATAGGTTTAAAGATAGATTCCTCCTCACTTGAATCACTATCATTAGCTCCTGGGGGCACAGGAGATGGAGGCTGGACTCTTATTATAGGCTCGGCAAGAAGATGTTTATCATGCTCCTCTTGGAGATTTACTTCCATCATTTCAGTCTCAGCCTCTGAGGAAGGAGTCAACCCTTTTTTCTCAGGCTGTGAGGAATCAGAATCCAAGGGTGGTGGAGGAGGGAACTCTATATATGCAACTCTTTTGTCTCTTGTTTTGTGTTCACCATTGGCTCCTTTTTCTGGTTCAGATTCTTTCAAAGGAATAGCTTTGCCTTGTTCACTATCTTCTGACTCCTCTGAAACCTCAGCTATTGGGCTTGCAATACCTGGCATAAATGCAATAAATGGATCAGGGGTTCTCGAGGTGAGATCATAGCTGACCTCTTCTGAGCTTGGTGTCTCTGGAGTCATAGGACTTTTGCCAGAGCTATCGATAAAAGAGAACTGTTCTAAAGTGTCATCATCTGGGCTGCCTTGAGGAGATGTGGGCTGTTTCTGTTTAACTGCATAAATTGTTCGACTTTCTGAGCTGGCCATCTTTTTGAATGTTCCATTGGTTCCTCCTCCTCCCATATCTTTGTCAGACTGTTTCCCCACTTGAACACTTACATAGACTGGTAAAGTTTTAAGCCCTTTGAAACTTTCTCTCGTTGTAACTGTGGATATTTTTTCGACTGAACTAGTGTCACTTAGACCACTTTTTGTTCTACTTTCAGCAGAGACTTCTTCAGAGTTCTTTGTTGCAGCTTCCTCTCTCTGTAACTCTGAACGGCCATGAACCCTTGGTTTGGTCAGGGTAGGTATGTGTGATGGGCTCTTTTCAGATAATTTAGTTAATGTGTCTTGATTTGCCTTCTTTGACTGATTATTGTCTGGGGAACCAGGTGATGTTCTCACAGGAATGTGAGATTCTGTTTTTTTCATAAGGCTCTTTATCTGAAAGTCATTCCTATTTATATTATCCTTAGACGAGGAAGCTGTTTTAATGGTCTCATTTTTAATGTCACCTTTTAAATACTGCTGCTCTTTAATATCATTAATCGCACTATGCCTGTCTGCAATATTTCCATCTTTCAAATTTTGAGAGTGAACTTTAGTAGAGCTCTCTTGCGTTTTATCAAACTCTTGAGCTTTCATTTTCTCAAAAAGTGAGGCTCTTTTTACAACAGTATCTGATGTGCTAGATTTTTCAGGTACACATTTTTCACCCAATTGCTTTGAGACAATAGTACTACTGCTACTGTGAGGGGTTACTCTACTTTTATCAGTTTCTGTTAGTTTTCTAGGAGGTGGGTGTCCTTCATCTGTGGAATCAGCTTTTGAGGGTTTGGAACCAGCGAAAATCTGATATACTGGTAATTTACTTTCTGGTCGTTTTTTAACTGCTTGTTTTGACTGTGTTAGAGGCACATTCTGATCCTGTTTCTGCGCTTCTATTTCAAACTTTTGTCGAACAGAACTCACTCTAGAAGTCTTAACTGGGACTGGGGGGCCTGCATCACCTGTCTCTGACTGCTTAGGATCTTGGTGCTGTTTTGGTTTGTCCTCACAGAACTGTGACAGCACATGCCTCTCGGGACTGTTTGGCAGACTTGCACTTTTCTTTTCATTTGTACTGCCAAACATCTTCTGTCTGCCTTTGTCCCATTCCTCAGTTGCACTCTTTTGCTTTTTCTCTGGGCTGCTGCACGTTGAGCTTGGCCCTGACCATGTCTCTCGTGATAATCTTGCTGGTTTCTTTTTCTCAGGGGACTTGAGCTCATCGTTTAACTTTTCAGTTTTGTCCCTAAAAAACTGTGAAACCTCACTCAGTTTCTCCTCTGCCTCTTTAATGGTCCGATCTACTCTATCTTCATATATGAGTTTCTCTCTATTCCTGTCCTGCCTATCCTGGGTGAATCTCATCCAGACTGCATGTTTAGGGCTACCGGGTTCTGTGGTATAATGTAATACAGTAACTTTGTCATATTGCTCATCTTGTGGGGGATATTTACCTGATTTGTCTGATGCATCCCTTGCTGACTTTAACTTGGACTCCTTCCTGGGGCCAGCTACTGTTTCTCCATATATGCCTTCTGCCCCTTGTACCTCAGTGGCTATGCTATGTGCCTGGTCTGCCACTGAGTCCTCAGTATCAGAATGTGATATGTCTAATTTTTCTGAGAGCAACATTTTCTCAGCAAACCTGTATGACTCCCCTCTCAACTCAGATAATTCGTCATCATGATACTCTATAGAATGCTGGCTTAGAAGTTTTAAAGCTTTATATGACTCATCTGCAGTAAGCTGAGCTGAACTGGGACGAGACTCTTCCTCTTGAGAAACAGGTGTATTGACTCTGGATGTGTCTAAGAAGAATGGCAGTGATTCCTCAGTAGTAAGTTCCTCCTCATCTTGAAGAACCTCATAATCACCATCAACACTTTCAACGAGTTCCTTGAGACCTCGGTCACTCTTGCATGTAAACTCTGGATGCCTTTTAGTCTCTCTGATTATAACTTCTGTCGGGTCAGTTGTGTTGCCCTTTTCTATGTGCACCTCAATAATTCTTTCAACTTGAGTTTTTTTGTCCTTTTCGAGGAACCGTGGGGACAATTCATCACCTTTAATGGCATCTTGGCTAGCTTTGTGCTCAAATAAACCGGCTAATTCTTTGGAAGGGTCTCTTCCAGACTGAAAAGCTTTCATTATGTCTCGGACTGACAATGCTTCTTCAATCCTGTCAGAGCCAGAATCTTTCAGTTGAGGTTTGTGGTAGACCATTCGAGTTGTAGTGGTGATATGAGTTTCTTCTTTGACGCATGCCAGTTCCTCAGAGCTGACTTTCATCTGCAAGGCCTTTACCTTATCTTTGATCAAGCTAACTGCTGGCTCAGGCTCAACCGGAGGCTTCAAAGCTGCTGCCTCATCCATTAGTGGCACACAGACCTCCTCAGGATGTTCATAGCTCCTGATGACGTGAAGAACCTCAGTTCTGGTTTCTGTTATGACAGGGGGGATAGGCACATCTGTAAAGGGGGGTTTGGGCCCTGTGCTCTCTGCACTTTGAGGAGCTGATGGGGTCTTTTCACTTCTGGTTTCAAAACCACTATCTGAGAGGGGACTCTTATCTTGTTCATGGGAAAAGTCATCAGGAGATTCCAGGATAGCATCTGTGCCACTATAGGAGTCTGCTAATTTACTCAAGTCTTTCTCTGAGGGAGAGGTCCGCATACCTGTGGGTGGCATTTTGAGCTTGTACTCCGGTTTCATGGTACGCTTTTGTTTTTCCTCCCCTTCCTTCTTTATTTCATCATATCTGCTCTTTACATCAGCTATTTTTGAAAGGGAACTGGCACCAAGATCATTCATTAAGTAATCAACCACTTTAGCTAAATTGAGATCTTTGTCAGGCACTGACTGTGGTCCAACAGGAAAGGTTGGTTCAAATGTTGACATGGAACGCAGGGCACTCTGTCGTGCCTCCTCAATTTCATCTTTGGAGAACTCTTCCCATTCATCCTCTGAGGCCCTGTCTTTACTTGAGCTTTTGGCCTCACTCAGGACATCTTTTTTGAGAATTGCATTAACTTTGACAAGGTCCTCTTTAACTTTCTCAACCAAACTGAAAGGCTCTTCATCCTCCATTTTGGACTCTTTAGAAACATGTGAGTGAAAGCTTTTGGCTACAGTCGAGGAGTCAGTTTGTAAGATTGCAGTCATTCTTATCAAATCTTCCTTCATATCTGCCACGTCCTTAAGAATCGCTTGACTGGATGTCAATGTGGGTGAGGCAGCTGCTTTGAGGACTGTCGGGGAAATAAAAAGTGAGGGCTTTGAGGGTTTAATTCGTGATGTAGAGGACTGTGTTTGGGTGTGTGGCTGAGGTGTGATTGTTATTTTTTCTGGGAGTTTCTTCCCCTGGGGTTCAGGGAGCACACTGACCACGGAGAATACTGGAACAGACATGGAAATGGACGATATTGATGTGGTGGTAGTGGCTGGTGATCTAAGGGTATCGTAAACAGAACTTGATAAATTTGATCTTAAAGGTGAAGATACAGATTTTAGCGCACTATAGTTTGACGTTGAGCCAGCAGTAAGTGATCTCTCAGCCTCACTGAAGGCTGCACCAACACTGGCCGTAGCTGCTTGCGTTGTGGCCTGTATCCGTTCTTGTAAGCTGTAAGCCCCTCCTGTAAACAAACGGGAAGATGCAGAGGGATATTTTATTGGTGAAATGGATCCATTTAACAGGACTGTTTCAGTACTGGATATTGTAGGCTTAGCTGATGAAGAAAGCGATGACAGAATTGTACCCCTAGCTGTATCTGTGGTCGTTTTAATAGAGGACAAGTTTGTAATATTTCGAATTGGAGAGGACACTGCTATACTTGTGGGGGCCAGGGTGGATTTGAATGATAAAGATGTGTATGTATTTGTGGTTGACTTTATAGAATCAGCTTGCTTCACTGTGGTGAAAGTTCTGTCTAGGATGGATCCAGGTGATGAAGTCAAGTTAGCTCTTGAGGACAATGAAGCAGCGAGCCCCTTAATGGACACCGGATCTGTGCCAATTTTACCTGGCGAAGACAGGAGACTGGAGGAAATTTGAACTTGGTTTTGGGGTTGTTGAACCACAGTCTTTATTGGAGATGACATAGATCTGTATGTTCTAATGGGTGATGCTATATCGCTAACTGATTTTGAAGGAGAAGCATTCGATGTTCCTAGGGTGGACTTGATTGGAGATGCAGAGGAAATGGACCACACAGACTTTAGTGGCGAAGCAGATGGCGTGTTGGAAGGTGAACTGGAGAGGGAACCCAGTCCACATTTTGTTTGCCCAGGGACGGTAATAGGAGCAGTCGACCATGCCTGGTAAGATCTTGTTGAAAAGACAGGTTTGTGAGCGTAACCAGCAGGCAGTGTTCTTGTTGTACTTCGTTCGACTGTTTCTTTAAACAGACAAATGAAAATCCAAACATAAAGTCAACAAAAAATGGTGGAGAAAGAGAGACCACAAGGAAAAAATTGGTCAGTGGTGATTGTCTTATAAGAAGTAGAGCAGCAGTTTTATGATGTGAAATGGAACTGAAGATGAGGATGATGCCAAAATAAAGATGATCCAAAGAGACTCATGGCCCACAAAGGGTTCACAAAACAAAAATTAACAAAGCGCACACACGCAAAAGTATGACAAAAATGATGAACGACAAAACGTAAAATGGCAAGACAAATGCACAGGACCAGAGTAAAACAATTTCACTTTTGACTTTTGATGTGCTAAATTTTCCTGTGACTGACTACCTTCATTTGCTACAGTGCCTTTTATCTGTTTGGTTCAGAAAAGAAAAAAAACCAGATCCTTCCCCAATTTGTGTATTTTGACAAAAACAGAAGACTCCAAAACAAAAAGCATCCTTGTTCCTATGCTACAGCAAATCATATTATGACAAATGCAGGCTAAATAACTACAATTTAAAGTTCATAATATCGCTCACATCATGCAGATCTGAGTAACCTTAGTGACAGGCAATTCAGTGCAAACTGTGAAAGCACCCGAGAGAATCTACCTGTGAGTATTCATGCATTTCCGTCAAAAATGCATTAAATAATTATACACAATCACAAAGCCAAAAGGAGCAAGACTGGTTGTAAACAGGAATTAAACAAAGGAAATTATTTTTTTACTTTGATGCCATAGTGCATAAAGTTTGCATTAATAAGTCACTCAAAGTAAAATGTTATGAATGTTACAAAATATTATTCTTGCTAGTGTGGGTAAAAATGAACAAATAGGGTAAACAATATCCCATAAGCACAGGGCAAACACGGCACACCAACTGAAATACCAAATTTCACATGCAAACTAAACTTTAAAAAACATCAACAGAAAACAAGCATGTGTTCATGTATGGTAAAAAATGTGCAGATAAAACAATGTTTATGCCAGTTAATATATCATAGATGGTCACAGTAAGTCACATGTTAGCTTTAATCACTCTCAAGAATTTGGTTCTCAATATAAGTTCATACATTAGTGAAAACATCACACTCACTCGTTCCAGGCTCAGTCAGATAGCTGTAGCGCTTACGTAAGGCTAGAGATGTAAAGGTATGACGTCGTTCTGGCTTTTCAGTCTGTAACAACAACAAAAAGAATCCTATCAGTTCTCCCATTATCAACCCTGCTTAAAGTTCAGCTAACTCCCTTACTGTTCCATTCTTTTTGAAAAAGCTTTATGACTATAATGAAGGAACACTGATTTGGAAGGTTTTTATAATTTTCTTTATATTACTGTACTCTTTAAATTGGGTTCCCTGTTGAAAAAAACAGCATATGCTGGTTAGGTATGTTTTGTCGCTGGGATGCTGGTTTAAGCTGGTTTGTGCTGGTCCTTTGCTGGTTTATGCTGGTCGTGTGCTGGCAATGGGCCAGCATAAATCAGCAAAAGGACCAGCATAAACCAGCAAATGACCAGTTTAAACCAGCAAAGGACCAGCTTAAACCAGCAAATGACCAGTTTAAACCAGCAAAGGACCAGCTTAAACCAGCAAATGACCAGTTTAAACCAGCAAAGGACCAGCTTAAACCAGCAAATGACCAGTTTAAACCAGCAAAGGACCAGCTTAAACCAGCAAATGACCAGTTTAAACCAGCAAAGGACCAGCTTAAACCAGCAAATGACCAGTTTAAACCAGCAAAGGACCAGCTTAAACCAGCATCCCAGCGTCAAAACATACCTAACCAGCATATGCTGGTTTTTTCAACGGGGTTGGCCTATATAGTCTCTATTCACATCAATAGCATTAGCAATGTAGCATTAGTGCTACAGCTAATGCTACATTGATTTCCTTTAACTCATTCTAAAGGCCATGAAACAAAAACAATAACTACGATTGACTGGGTCAGTGAGATCATAGGTTCCGATGTCCAGTAATTTGATACGCAACATAAACATATTATTTTTTGTCCTATAAATTCAATTTTAATATGCTTTGATGTGATCCACTTAAGTCTTTACAGTCTAGGCAACGGTCCTTGATGCATGGATGAGTAAAAAAAAAATCAGCTTGCAGAAAGTTGCAGCAGCATGCAGGGTATGTGTACCCAAGTTAAAGCCGTCTTAAACGAACAAATAACCCAGAGCTAAAGCAACTAGCACACCACATGAAAATGAGGGGACAGCACTATTACCTCTTCCTCAGGATCTGAATCCATATCCTTTTGGTTCCCAAGATGTATTGCAGAAACAGAGGGGATAACGTAATGAAGAGCAGGGGGAAAGAAACATCAGCATGTGAAAAAGGCGATTGAGAGCACACTAAGTAAAAGTTACCACAAAGCCACAGTGAAGGAACATAAAGGGGTAAAAAAGAAAAGAAAAATAAACCACAGAAGCGGTTGAAAAAAGCCCAAGCCTGTGCACCTTCAGCCAAAGCAAGATCCAAATCAAAAGTGTGATTTGGGTCAGCCACAACAACAACTTGAAAGAAGCTTGAAACAGATAAAAGACACACTCAGGCAGTTTGAGCCAATTTTGACCCTTCATGACTAGGAACACTGCTCTATCTTTCCTGAGTATGAAGATGGCATGATATGACGCAGATGATCATAGTTCAGCCTTACCTTCTTGAGTCCTGGCAGTGTGATGTTTAAATTACAGATAGCAGTCTGAGTGAGACCCTTGGAAGTTTTGGGCTCTCTGAGGAAGGACAGGCGGCCACATGGCTCTTGGCTGCTGTCTCTGACCTGCAGATGACAAACAAATGTTACTGGTAACAATTTAGTCTTTAGGTCTGACTTGCCCAGAATTTGCTGGATCATAGCTTGTAGAAAACGATAGAGCAGCCCATCTGATTTAAATAAGTAGAAGGTTTCAGTTAGAAAATACACAAGAACATGTGAAGAGCTACATTACCTTCTGAAATCTCAGGGTCTAACAGAAAGTTATGCTGATTTTAATAACAAAACAATATGGCAGGCAGAATGTATTACTAATGTGTCCAATTGTCATGAAAATGTGGAAATCGCTGAAGGGAAAAAAATGATCTACCTTCACACAGAATGGGAGTCTGTTTTCTTTGAAAGCATAGAAGTTAAAAACCAGCTGCTGTCCGGTTTTGGTAAGAGGGGCCAAATTGCCATAGCAGTCCACATAGATGGGCTTCCCCTCCAGCACCTTTAAAACAGCCAGCCGTGTCATGCAAACCACATTTTATAAAAATGATAATGTGCACAAATCCTAGTAATATCTCATAAAATAAATAATTAGCATGGAATGTTATACAGTACATCAGAATCTAGTGATAATAGCAACATTTAAAAAAATGAAATAACTAAAACGGATAATGCACCTCAATGTCTTTGCTTCTGGCCACCTCCTCAAAGTTCTCCTGCTGTTCCAGGGTTTTGTCCACTTTATCATCTGTCATACAGAAGCACCGCAGGCTGGACTCTACAGGGTCATTCATTTTAGCAAACACTACAAACTTGGCCATGTAGGGCACACAGATGAGCTCCCTGTAGAGCTGGGTGGCCAAACCTACAGTCTCTGGGATCTGATGGCAGTCTGCAAGCCAAAACCTGGACACAAATTTAACAGTCACAAAGCTGAAAATGTGCGATTTTGATAATACACCTTAATATTTTCTAGAATTAGATTTGAGATATTGAAAATTGATTAAAACAGGTAAGAGGATTTTATGAGGAAAGGTCATAAGTTGTTCTTGTACCTGGCAGACACGTTTGTGGTGAAGGACACACAGTCATTCAAAAAAGTGAGAGGTGTAGTGCCAGTGATGTCCTCCCACTGAGCCGGTGATGTGCCACCTGTCACAAGATGCTTTATTAAAATGATTTTTACATTTTCTGAAAAAAAAATAAGTGACTGCTCTTGCCAGTCTAAAATTCACCACCTCAAAGAAACAAATAGAGATGCACCGGTCGACAGGCCATCAACGTGTTTTGTGCAGGTATGCTTCTCGTACCATAATTTCACAAAGCAAAATTCAGACCATTTTGTTTTTCTTTTAAATCTACTATAATTGCAGGGGCATTATGAAAATGAGCTCATGCACACTTGGGGCCCAAGCGAGAGGAAGACATTTTTTTTTCAGAGTGTCTTAAACTAAGTGCAAATGGCACGCTTGTTGGCAAACACTATTTACATTAGCTCCGACACCTTAATATTTTCTAGAATTAGATCTGAGATATTGAAAATTGATTAAAAGAGGTAAGAGGATTTTATGAGGAAAGGTCATAAGTTGTTCTTGTACCTGGCAGACACGTTTGTGGTGAAGGACACACAGTCATTCAAAAAAGTGAGAGGTGTAGTGCCAGTGATGTCCTCCCACTGAGCCGGTGATGTGCCACCTGTCACAAGATGCTTTATTAAAATGATTTTTAAATTTTCCGAAAAAAAATAAGTGACTGTTCTTGCCAGTCTAAAATTCACCACCTCAACGAGACAAATAGAGATGCACCGGTCGACAGGCCATCAACGTGTTTTGTGCAGGTATGTTTCTCGTACCATAATTTCACAAAGCAAAATTCAGACCATTTTGTTTTTCTTTTAAATCTACTATAATTGCAGGGGCATTATGAGCATGAGCCCATGCACACTTGGGGCCCAAGTGAGAGGAAGAACATTTTTTTTCAGAGTGTCTTAAACTAAGTGCAAATGGCACACTTGTTGGCAAACGCTACTTACATTAGCTCCACCCACCAATGTCTGGTACACTATAATTATAAAGTTTTAAGAATGGTTCTAAATTCTATGAGAGATGTCCAAACTACAACCATAATGACAACAACACAGAGGAACAATATTGTTGGAATCACTTTCAGAACATTTTTTCCAGCTGATGAATTATAAAAATCAATTAACTTTAAAAAGCTCGAGTATTAACAGTGGTGGACGACATAACTGTAGCATGTGCTAAATAGATATACAGAGTGTTATCTTGTGTTGGTGTGGACACTAACAGTTATCTTTATAGTTATCGTTCTAGGTGTGAGTAACCTTTTGGCTAACCCTAATTAGTCTATTTATGAAAAAACTGTAGTGATGATTGCAAACACCACTATAGTGAAACAGGAGCTCGATAAACTGTTAAAAAGATTATATATTTCATTAGATTTTATCACGTCGTTAATGATGTCTACAAGTCAATCCTACCAGTTATACTGCAGAGCAGGCGCAGGCTTGGTGTTGGGTCTCCTTTGTAGCCATTCACCACACCCTCTCCAGAGAGCGGAGGCACGGGCATGGTCATGGTAATGGGCTTATGGAACTTCCTCCTGCGAGGCTCCACTGTCACTATAGGGCTGAAGGTGGCACGGTTTCCTATGATCTTCTTCACAGGTTCATCCGGAACAGGCTGGGCCTGTTAAGAGAAAGCAAGAACATTTAAGTGAAACATCTACACAAAGAGCTTCATTAAAGTGTGTAATTTCGGACCGCCAGCATCAACAAATGGGAAAATCATGTTTGCTTTCCAAATAATCCCTAATATATCCTGGCCTAAACTCACACCACTGGTCGAGGTAGTGTTGTTAAGATTCAGAGTCAGAGTGTTAAGACCCGTTCACACCAAGAACGATAACTATAAAGATAACTATATTAGCGTCCACACCAGCGGACGATATCTTCTGTTTATTCTAAGCGCACGCTTGTCAGTCGCTTTAAATTCTCGGGCTCATTATAGCAGGATTGATTCTGATTGGGCGTCAAATGTTTTTATGGTTCATCAGCTGGAAAAAAGTGAAAGTGATTCCAACGATATAGTTTCTCTATCGTTATAGCTGTGGTGTGGACTCTGCTATTCTTTAATATTGAGAATAATTTTTAGAACTATATCTTTATCGTTATCTTTATAGTTACCGTCCTTGGTGTCAACAGGCCTTTAGACTTTTCAAAGGAATCAACCTACACTCTTAAAAAATGAAGGTTCCAAAAGGGGCTTTTCACAGCGATGCCTTAGAAGAAACATTTTTGGTTCCCCAAAGATACATTCAGTAAATAGTTTATTATTTTTAAGAGTGTAGTCTTTAAATATTAAGTTAGGAGATAGGAGAAAGTATTTCCATATTGTGAAAATAATCACACGCACACAAAAAAAGAACATTTTAAATAAGTTGGACCATTATCTACCTGCAGTCCAACTCTGATCTTCTTAGTGAGTGCACCCTCAGGGAAGGAGGCCTGGACCAGAGGTACTGTCATGCTGGACAGGACCCCTCCATCTGGACCCATCTGATTACTCTCCTGCTTGATCCGTGATACCACCGCAAAGTATTGTGGGAAGTCCTTTGTGATGATCCGGCAGATACGCTTCTTCTCCAGATCTGCTGTGCTGTCGAGCTCTGTTGAGTACACATGTATAATGTGAGTTTGATTTCAGGAAGCATTTACATTACATAAAAGTATATTACAGGAGCAAACAATAGGTTTTTAAGTATCCGGAAGGAAAAGTGAGTGGTGTTTGCCTATGCACAAGTTGGCATCATGATGCTACGGTCTTGCAGTGGTGCTAAATCTGTTGCTATGTGGTTGTACTGTCTGTGTACTCCCAAATGTTCATTTAATTTTAACACATTTGTGTATGTCACATGCTGTCTCTAAATTGTATTGTTTATAAATATGTGACCCTGGACCACAAAACCAATCATAAGGGTCAATTTTTCGAAAATGTATCAATTTATCTGAAAGCTGAATAAATAAGCTTTCCATTGATGTGTGGTTTATTAGGATAGGACAATATTTGGCAGAGATACAACAATTTGAACATCTGGAATCTGAGGGTGCAAAAAAATCTAAATATTGAGAAAATCGCCTTTAAAGTTGTTCAAATGAAGTTCTTAGCAATGCATATTACTAATCAAAAATTAAGTTTGAATATATTTACAGTAGGAAGTGTACAACATATCTTCATGGAACATCATCTTTACTCACTATCATAATGAAATTTTGCATAAAAGAAAAATCAATAATTTGGCCCATACAATGTATTTTTGGCTATTGCTACAAATATACCCCAGCAACTTGTTTTGTGCTCCAGGGTCACATATATAGGCATTATATCAGACATTGTCCATCCTGCATTTGACCAATGAAAAACTCACATCCGTCGAGCACTAATCAACACTGATTGTGCACTAGCAAGGTCAGCAACAGTGCAGATTTGAATAATTATAATTTTACCTTCATCCAAGCCATTGAGCAGCTCATTGAGGTCTTCAGATTTGCAGTCATAATGATGCTCTTTCCAGGTCTCACCGTTTTCGCTCCTGAGCATAATGAGCTCTCGCTCTTTCCCCCTCATGGACCCAAAATGAGGGATCTCCACAATCACAGGGCTGTGAAAACACATCGCAGGCCTTTATCAGTGGAACCTCTCAGACTAATAAACGCGAGACAACGAGACACACAAATGCTGATGATGACTTTAGTAAATGGCGATGATGAACATTCATGGAACATTAGTGCAAAAGAGGGGCACTTGGCAAATGCATCTGATATTAATACAGTTAAACACTACTGGTTTCTATTCTGAACCCAAGGGGACAGATGCAGAAATTATTTTATCAATGTTTTAGTTTAGCATAACTTTTTTTTACCAAGCGTCACTGCTTCATGCTTTGAAATTAAATCTTTCAAACACCAAGTAAGATGCAAAATAAAGATGCACAAAATCCTATTCTTAATCAGTAACTTTGTTCTTATTATCAGCAAAATATCTAACAAAATAAATTCACTTTCAGACAGCATAGCTTATAAAATATATTTAAAAAACATTTTTGGGTGATATTTCAACTTAATTACGCCGTGACAGTTATGGTGAGGTAATATTAAAATAGATTAATAGATTCTAAAGAACAAGACCAGGCTTGATATAAAAAAGCCCTTTTGAAACAAGCAAAACACCTAAATAGAGCAACACCAATCCTAAAATTAAACAAAACAATTGCCAGTGGGATAAAATAATTGAAGAATTCTTAAAACAAGCAGTATATCTAGCCACTGAAAATATGAATTGACCATAAAACTAATCAGAAATGCTTATAAAATGATCAAGCATTAAGCAATCTTAGTGCAGCTTAAGAAATTAGACGTTTAGAAATTAACTTATGGTCTTATTTTAAACATTATATCTAATAATATATTGTTATTTCACAGCGTCATTAAAGGGGTCATATGATGTTGCTAAAAAAACATTATTTTGTGTATTTGGTGTAATGAAATGTGTTTATGCGGTTTAAGGTTCAAAAAACACATTATTTTCCACATACTGTACATTATTGTTTCTCCTCTATGCCCCGCCTTTCTGAAACGCATCAATTTTTACAAAGCTCATCGGTCTGAAAAGTGAGGTGTGCTGGGATTGGCCAGCTATCCAGTGCGTTGTGATTGGCCGAATACCTCAAGTGTGTGACGAAAATGTTACGCCCCTTACCATACTATGATGCCCTGTAAGGCCGGAGCGACGAGACATAAACATTAAAACCCATTATAAACGAGGCATTTGTTGCATCCAGTGGGGACATAATTACGGATTATAATGACTTACTGTCTTTTTACGCGTTGCGTTGCATTGCGCCGCGTAAATATAAAACCCATGTCTGCATTTGTGATCGGATAAATGACAAACAACAAGCACTACTCCACACTGCTCAAAACTCGCGTTTGAATCGTC